CTATATAGAAGAAGAGGAGAGATTCTGGTAAAAATATCAAAAGACCGATATTGATCGCATTGAGGAAAATCCGCCGAAACCACGACACACGGACGACGAGAATGTTTTGGCAAATGCCAACTGCATTAATTAATGGGCAACTCGTACAGGTTGAGGAGGCATTGGTGCTCGGTTATGACACGCACCAGCAGCTTTGCAACTCCTCCTTCTGGGGTGGACCGCCATTCAATCTTAAGGGAATTAATCTAATTAATTAATCTATTCCCATCGTGAAGTAGATTCAGATCGTGCAAGACGCGATCTCTTCGTGTCTCTTAGGGTTGCTGGCCTGTTCGGTTATACTACTAAAGTACTCCCTACCTTTATACACGATCTATACAGGACAGACATACTCGGTACCAAGAGTACTAGTAGTTATATAGATATCGCCCCTAAAAGAAGCCCCATGGAAACGACTCACCAGCCGACATTTACCCATCGCACACACCCACACACAGCCATGGAGGTCACTTCGCAGATCGCAAGGCTCATCAAAGTGCAGCGCCCGGGGCAACCCAGTGATGAATAGCGGAATAGCGCCGGGAGTCTAGCCTTAATCGTCCCATCCACTCCCACTTCGTATAGTCCGACTCCTCATTTGCATTTTCTAAATTTTTCTTTTTTGGAATTTCTATTTCCTCCCCGGATGCAGAAACATTCTTGAAATAATTTAAAACAAATCAAATTCTTTCAAATGCCAATAGATATCAGAATCAGGGGAAGTACGAAGAGTTTTTGGTTTCCCCTTTTTCTTCGCTCAGATGCAATGTCGATCTGAAATTGGTTGGCCATGGTGTGGCGACGGTGTGAGAAGTCCTGGGTGTAGTAGGAGGCGTTTCCAGTCGACCGGAGCAACCACTTGTCAAGGAAGCAAAATCTCTTGTACTGAAAGTCTGAAACATAGTTTCACCTCAGGAAATACCTGGCAGAAGTAAAATTAAATCCCCTAACGTGCTAGTAGGTACATACATAACATACTACTACTACTCCTACTACTACTAGGAGGAGAAACTCACTACCTAGGTAAACTTCCTTCTCTTTTTTCCCGGCACTTACACACATTTAGTACATACATACAGAACATACATACATACAACGCTAGTCCCATCCTGGTGTGGCGCCGTTGGAACGATTGATTGGACGGGATTGGATGGAGCCCCTCCGCTTTTTTTTGGTCAGGTTCCCTTGGCTCGCTGCGAACTGATGTCATTTGGTTCATCGACTCTCCCTCAATTTCAGCCATTTTGACACTTCGAGTCTGGTACTGTCACTCCGACAAGGTTGAACCGAAGAAAAGTCTTTGCGGATCGCTCAATATCTGTTCTTGTAAGGTTAATTGAGGTGTTTCCCGTGGCCGTGAAAGGCAATGTGGGTGCTAATGTGATGACGATGCGATCTCCGCATGAGATCTTCTGCTTGCGTGTCTGGTGCCTAGAGGTTCCCGCAATAAGCCCACGGCCTGAACCCCAGTACAACAGTTCAGCGTACGGAGTAGACCGAGTTGGAATGGAACTATGGAACGTGACCTGAGTATGTATACGCAAGTATTGTCCTCTACAATCACCGGCCGGTCGGGTTGGAAAAAATCAGACAAAGTTTACATTCATCAAGTTATCTGATTTTTATAAATTTTTTCCCCTTACCGTCACAAAGGGTATAAGAAGCAAGGTGATTGTATCCTGCAGTGGCCTCTGCAAAAAAAAAAAAAGAAAGAAAAAGAAAAAAGACCCCACCCCAATTAAATCGAGTACTCGTGACAATAATAGTAGTCGTAGTAGTAGAAGGCCATAAAAACGAAACGGCACACATATGCAGTGACTCCACTCCGGCCTCGACGAAAAAATGCACGCGGAGAAAACGACACGAACAAGCGTGAGACACCCGGAGGCGGAGGTGTCGAACAAAAGGAGAATATACCGACCGCAACGCCAGAGACCACGGTCCTGCGCAGTAACTGTGCGGACCTCGAAAGAACAAGAAAGATCAAATGCTAAGTCGAGAATGCAACGAAACTCGCATCAACGGTTCATTTCATATCGGACAGGAGGAAGGCTCGTTCAGTCTATTCGGTCTTCCTTCAGATCCTTCGAATACGCTTTCTGTACGTGCCGGGAACCTCTGCCATCCAGTTCGAGCATGAATAAGATGTCGCGGACCTGAACCCCCGAGCCCTTGTCTTTGTCCTCCCGCCACATTCCCAGTCGTTTCGCGGGCACGACGGCTGGTTCACGGCCAGGTTTCTCAGAACTAGTCCCGCTTGGAGTCGCGGTACTGACACGTGATGGTGTAGAAAAGCCACTGCTGGTGGCTGGCGCCCCCCGATTCAACCACGAGTAGGACTTTTTGGTTCCAAACATACGGCCCGAGAGCATACTATTGGTGGCGAGTCGTGCGGTTTCCACAGACTGCTGGTGTTGCTGGGCCTCGCTTGCCTTCGCGTCCATGAGCTTCCTAGCCTCCTTCTTAGATATTCCCTTTTTATCGATACTCGGGGCTTTTTCTGGGATCGGCGTGGAGGCACCGGAGCCAGGTATATCTACGGATTCGGCCCTCACCGGTCCGCCTTCGCCTAGGATAGCATTCGCACTGCGCTTGGCGCGTTTGGCGGCTCGGCTTTCTTCACTAGAGTTGTCCCTTTCCATTAGCGCACGATATTTTTCAGCTAGTGATTTAGCTGTAGGCTGCTCGGTCGCCGAATGAGGTCCTATGTTTTGTTAGCCAACGTCAAAGCAAAGAACCATCTGCCAAGAGTTCAACACACGTTTGAGTGGTGTTTTGTCACCTGCCCCGGCCCCGTTAGGCACACCAGCCGAAACAGCCATGTCCTTGTATTCAATAGGGACAACTCCATGTGAGTGGGCGCGTCGGCTTCGTGCAAGTGTAGAAGAGTAGTCAATAACGCCCCGCAGTCGCTCTTCGCAAGAAATTGACATCAAGTTCAGGATGTCCACCAAGGCGCCCCTTCTTGATTCAAAATGGTCTGGCCCGTACGTACAACAGATGATCCGTCGGGCCCGGTAACTTCGATGGGTTGCGGACGGCCTGGTACCGGATGAAATAAGCCTTCAGCTGGTATACGAACCCCAAGCTCAAAGCCACGTCGTTGCAGTTTTTGCTCCAAAACTTTCGTCAGTAAGAATGGCTCTTGTAGGTGGTACTGGGCACGTCTAGCTGCTTCGGTATCCTCTCGCGTTGGTTCGTTGGGATCTTTGAACGGGGCAGGGGCTGGTGCTGGTGGCTCAGAATAGAATGACTCCTGAGTTGCTGGCGGTTTGTATGGTGAGGGTTCTGTGAAGCTAGGCTGTGTTGATATTGTGGAAGCTTGTGATGTAAAGGATGTATTCAGCGGAGGTTGTGGCTGTTGTTGTGGGAGAGGTTGTTGAGGTCTTGGAGGCTGCTGTGCCTGGGTCCCCGGAGCTGAGTAACTGCTGGTAAGAAACGCTTCTTCCTCTCTAACATCGATACCAGACGAAGCCAGGACATCTGTGAGCTCTGCGGCATCTGTCGCTTTCTCTACCGGTCGGGAAGGTGGTCCCATTGTGCCTGCAGGTGGGGGAGCGGGTGTTTGTGGTGTTTGTTGACCCGCGCCGTTCAAATTCGCGCCATTTACAGGCATCGGTTGGTTTTGAGGTAGTTGTAACGTTCCAAAGCTCGGTGAAGCGTAAGGTGATTGCGGGAGAGGTGAGAGGTGTTGCCGTTTGACCTGTGGAGGGACGCCACCATTCACCGGGGAAGCTGCTCCCGGAGAGGGAGAGGACCCCGGAGGGGAGAAAGACTGGGAGAACTGCTGCGGCTGTGTTTGCGCCATGATGACTTGTGTTGTTTTATTTTTAAGTGGTAAATTCGTACAGAATATCTTTTGTAGATTCGGTCACGTCTATCGAGATGTCAAGGCCAAACACCCGCGCGAAAGTCGAAACTGAGCGGATTGCTCGAACCGCCGCCGCCACCAACTGTAACCATCTCAGGAAATAGCGTCCAACATAGAGTCGTCAAGTAAGTCTAACAGATGTACCCTCACTGAAGAATAGATGCGTGCGCGTGGTGAATAGACCGGGTCTAACCGTGTTGTTCGCAGATGGAAAGGGAGCTTTTCCTTGACAAGATTTGCGGATCCCATTGAGTCACGTGTTAATTAGGTAAGTCGGGCGGCGGAAGCGCGTTTCTTTGAGTTCCAACTGTTACTCCCATTGATGCTCTTTTGAGATCAACACGGATTGGCAGACTTGCGCAAGGCATCAGTCGGGGAATTCTCATTCACCGCGGCCACTCGGATCATAGGTCCTTGCTCTATCATAATACACGCCTGCCATGGCTGATCTACTCCCAACATTTTAAGTGTTACAGAAGAGGGATAGTCTCCTTAGTCTGTCTTTGCGCTAACATTGCGCTTGGTCCTCGGAAGGGTCACTGTGACGGACAGTATAGATGAATTGTTCTCAGAGAACTTGCTAAACACAGTACATCATGGCGACAAAACGGAAGGCATCGGCTTTGAATGCCTCGGCCGACGATGAGCCTGTCGACCCGTCAGACGAGCTGGGGTTCTACTGTCTAGGCGGAGGAAATGAGGTTGGCCGGTCATGTCACATTATTCAATATAAGGGGAAAACAGTGATGGTGTGTAGTTACATGGACTTCTTTCATGGGTAATTAAAGCTGACTGATCCCTTCCTGACAGCTTGACGCCGGTATGCATCCTGCGAAAGAGGGTTTCTCTGCTCTTCCGTTCTTCGACGAATTCGACTTGAGCACAGTGGATATCCTTTTGATTAGCCAGTATGTAATTTACTCCTCTCCTTTGTATTTGCGAAGTCCACCGTGGTCCATAGCCATTCCCGCTTGCCATATGGTTCCTTCGGCCCTCGGGAGCTTGAATCTGGATAAATCTGTCATCAGTGGAAGTCGGGTTCTCCTCGATGCAGAGCTTATTTCCTCCCATGTATACGAGAAACACAATACAATATATACTAGCTATTTATCCTGTGCTCCGAATGTATCTCTGTATCTGTGCATCGCTTTGGCGTTCTTGATCCGGTGTCCTTAGTCTCTTCTGGATACCCTAGGTCAAGCAGGTGGCTGATAGATTCCTACTTAGTTTTCACGTTGACCATTCTTCCGCTCTCCCTTATGTCCTCAGCAAGACGAACTTCAAAGGTCGCGTCTTTATGACGCATGCGACTAAGGCTATCTACAAATGGCTCATTCAGGACAATGTACGGGTCAGCAACACTGCGTCGTCGTCAGATCAACGCACCACTCTTTATACCGAACATGACCATCTGTCTACCCTTCCTCTGATTGAAACCATTGATTTCAATACAACACACACAATCAACAGCATCCGCATCACCCCTTTCCCTGCCGGCCATGTCCTTGGTGCCGCTATGTTCTTGATTTCAATCGCTGGCTTGAATATTCTCTTTACTGGCGATTACTCGCGTGAAGAAGACCGACACTTAATTCCGGCTGAAGTGCCAAAAGGAATAAAAATTGATGTCCTTATTACAGAGTCGACATTTGGAATCTCATCCAACCCTCCTCGTTTGGAACGGGAAGCTGCACTTATGAAGTCGATCACCGGGGTCTTGAATCGCGGTGGTAGGGTCTTGATGCCTGTCTTTGCTCTTGGCCGTGCCCAAGAGTTACTCCTTATTCTTGATGAGTACTGGGAGACACACCCTGAACTGCAGAAAGTGCCTATTTACTACATTGGAAATACAGCCCGAAGATGCATGGTTGTCTATCAGACATATATTGGCGCAATGAATGACAATATCAAACGACTCTTTCGACAGCGTATGGCGGAAGCGGAAGCTAGCGGTGACAAGAGCGTCAGCGCTGGGCCCTGGGACTTTAGATTCGTTAGGAGTTTGCGAAGCCTGGAGCGTTTCGACGATGTAGGGGGCTGTGTGATGCTAGCTTCCCCGGGTATGCTACAGACTGGTACAAGCAGGGAACTTCTTGAGCGCTGGGCCCCAAATGAACGCAACGGTGTTGTTATGACCGGCTACAGTGTTGAGGGTACAATGGCCAAGCAGCTACTTAATGAACCCGAGCAAATTCCAGCCGTTATGTCAAGAGCAGCAAGTGGGCTGGCAAGAAGGGGCGGCAATGATGAAGACCAGAAAGTTATGATTCCAAGGCGATGCACTGTGGACGAAATCAGTTTTGCAGCTCATGTTGATGGCGTTGAAAATCGCAACTTCATCGAAGAAGTTTCTGCTCCTGTTGTGGTATGTTCCTCGTCCATGATACCCTTATACCAGATCCCTGACCGTATCCCAGATCCTTGTTCACGGCGAAAAACATCAGATGATGCGACTGAAATCCAAGCTTCTCAGTCTGAATGCTGAGAAGACCGTCAAGGTCAAGGTATATACGCCGGCAAATTGTGAAGAAGTCCGCATCCCCTTCAAGAAGGACAAAATCGCGAAAGTCGTCGGGAAACTAGCCCAAATTGCGCCTCCTTCGGAGCAAGACGACGGCCACCTCATGGCCGGTGTTCTCGTTCAAAACGGATTCAACTTATCCTTGATGGCACCCGACGATCTGCGCGAATATGCTGGTCTAACTACGACAACTATCACTTGCAAGCAACATATAACCCTCAGCTCAGCGAGTATGGACCTGATCAAATGGGCACTTGAGGGTACTTTCGGTGCTATCGAGGAGATTGGCCCGAAGACCGATGTCAAGGAGGAGCTTGTGGAGAGCGAGAAGGGTTCCAAAGAAGAATCCAAACTGAAAGAGGAAGCTGCCGACGAAGAAATTCCTCTTGAAAATGAACAGGCCTATCTTGTCATGGGTTGTGTCGTCATTCGCTATTTCCCTCGTACACGCGAGGTCGAGCTTGAGTGGGAGGGAAATATGATGAACGATGGGGTTGCCGATGCCGTCATGGCAGTTCTGCTCACCGTTGAAAGCAGCCCTGCGTCTGTGAAGCGTATGTCACCTTCCACACCGTATAGGTAACCACTTTTACTTACTGACACCATCTTACAGAGTCCGCCAAGCAAAAGCACCATCACCACCACCATCACGACACCCTTGAACTCCCTAACCCTCATTCACAGCTCGGCGCTGAAGAACGTTTCGCACGCCTTCTCATGATGCTTGAAGCACAGTTCGGATCGGACATATCACCCATTGAGCGTCCACGACTACCCGCTACTCAACTTACCAAGGGGGCAGCGAATAACGAAACTGCTACGGAGCAGACTCCTAAAGAAGAAGAGGAAGACGACGAAAGTTTAGCTGAACTGGAAGCCGCTGAGCTTGCGCGACTTCACGCTCTGGGAATCCCGGTTCCCGGAATTGAGATCAGAGTCGACAAGAACGTTGCGCGGGTATGGCTTGAGGATCTTGAGGTTGAGTGTACCAATGCGGTGATGAGAGACAGGGTTCGAGTCGTCATTGAACGTGCGGTGGAAACAGTTGCTAGCATGTGGGCTGAGGGCCCTCCGTCTGCTACTGTAACAAATGGAGAAACCAAGGAGAAGCTGAAAGAAATGCTTGCTTCCAATGGGGCTGAGATTGATGCGACTGCCTAATGTGACCATTATATGTTGTGTATTATAGATTTCTCGGTTGTTCCACGGCTCAATAAAGTGAATACCCAGCTGAGTGTTTGGGTTGGGTTGACTGAGTACGCGTTGTACTTTCATCACATATACTCTAAATCGGCACCAGCTCATACTACCAGATCCATCGTTGTATACGTTTATTGATCTCGCTACAGTGCTTGACTCCTTGAATAACCATGACAGTCGCTCAGACCTTAACCACCTTAGTGAAAACTTGATCCAGGACTCTAGCAGTAGTTTCCACAATAAGATCAATCTCATCCTTCGTCACATTATACGGCGGTGCGAGGAGGACATGGTCTCCCTGCGTTCCATCCACACACCCTGTAGCCGCATACAACGAGATTCCGTATGTCGGGTCCAACCCAGTTTCCTGGATATGAGCGGCTACCCCCAGCTCGGGGCTAAAGGGCTCTTTAGTGAATTTGTCCTTAACGAACTCAATCTATGACGCCCATTCGTTAGTCTTCCTGAATAGAAAGATCCCAAGGTATCTTAGAAAACTTACCCCCCAAAATAGCCCCTTCCCACGAATATCCCCCACATATGGGTGATCTCCCAGCCGAGCTTTAAGCTGCCTTTCCAAGTAAACTCCCATATCCTGCACATTCTCTAGTAAGTTCTCTTCTTGGATGACCTTCTGCACAGCTAGAGCAGCAGCACATGACATAGGGTGGCCTTGGTATGTCTGTCCGTGCCGGAAAACGCCTGTGCCTTTATCCAATGTCTGCACGATCTTCTCTCCGATCAGAAGACCAGATACGGGAGCATATCCACCTCCAAGACCTTTACCGATAGTCTGTAGGTCAGGAACTACGCCTTCTTGCTCCCATGCATGTAGTGTCCCACAGCGACCCATCCCACTCATTACTTCGTCGAGGATGAGAAGCGCCCCGTATTTTTCGCACACGGCTTTCATGGCTTTGAAGTAGCCGGGGACGGCGGGGACGGCGCCCAATGCCTGTGGGAATCCAAGTATTAGGTCTCCTGCTTTATGGAAGGGTAAAAGTCCAGAGTAGGGATATGATACTCACAGCTCCGACAACCGGCTCCGCCACAAAAGCACAGACGTTCTCCGGCCCAACACGTTGAAATTCGGCGTCTAACTCTGCAGCAAGTCGAGCAACGTAGTCCGCATCTGTTTCGCCATTTTTCTTGCCCCGGTAAGAGTAGCAAGGGGACACATGGGAGGTGTTTGGGGGGAGCAATGGCTCAAAGGGTTGTCGTCGAAGGACGTGTCCTCCCACCCCTAGTGCGCCCAAGGTGATCCCATGATAAGAGGGCTTCCTGGCAATGAACCGGGTGCGTTGAGGCTGGGGTGTGGGGAGCTCGAGGAAGTACTGTCGAGCTAATTTCAATGCCGCTTCAACTGCCTCGGAGCCTAGTCGAGGTGTGTTAGTTCTATATCTGTGGATTGGGGCGTATACCATACCGGAACTAACCATATACACCTTCGACAGCTTGCCGCCTGTTGAATCGACCAGGAATTGAGCCAGCTCTTCGGTCACTTCGGTACTGAAGAACGCCGTGTGGCAATATGATATCTTGTTGGTTTGATCGATGATGGCTTGCCTGACCTTTTCGTGACCGTGGCCAAGGCAGGATACGGCTGCGCCACCGGTCGAGTCGAGGAACTTGGTGCCATCTTCGAGGAAGAGGTAGCAGCCTTTGCCATCAATTGCTTTCTTGGGGTGGAAGCGGGTATCGCGGTGAAGGACGGCGCTAGTCTTTATTCCTTCAGCCATGACTGAATCTACTGGTTGATGACTATGGCTGGTAATTTCAACAAAGGCAATTGGTCAAGTACCGAGAACAATCAGGGTTGACGATTAGAAAATGTAAGAATGCGAAGTAAAATCTAGCTTTCATTCATACGGAGGAATACATTAGTCTTTATATCAGGACTCTGGCCTTCAGGCCTTATCTTGAACTTGATGATTTGTGGGGTAGGGCGGGGGTGTCGCATGCCGATGGAGATCCCGAGCGGATGGTTGGCCGCACCTACCGACGGCCCGACTGTTCGGTGCTACTCGATGTAGATACTCGCATGATATCGTTGCAATTTGGCAATTGCTGTGACTCACTGCTGATTGCGTATGTTTCCCAGATTGGTAAAACGAGTCTCTCAGCATTGAGTCTGTTCAACTGATTGAGGGAATGGGCGTACACATGATGAATGAGGCTAGCTCTACTTAAGGCAAGCCTCATTTGATCTGACTGGCGAATAAGTAGCAGACTATATGGCTAGAATTTTATTCTAGACTGACGTTAATGCGCCATAGTATATCTCAAATATTCGTTGTGGGTAGACTTCTCAGTGTCTTTACGCTTCGAGTTCACTACTATATACTTTCATTCTCCTTTTCCTCTGTTAAGAGTCAGAAGTTGTTAACACGTCGGCAATCACTCACCTTGTCAACAAAATTGAATGTACTTTTAACTTTGACATCGTAAAATACAATTTACTCAAATTATCTGCGAGTCCGTGAATCATGTTGTATCCTCGGCAATATATATTTTCTGTAGCTTGACTATTGCAAGAATAGTAGTGGATTGATACCGCACTATATGTAGTGCTCATCAATAGAGAAGATTTGAATAAGAAAACACTCAACAAGTAAACCTCATTATAAAATACCTTTCACTATGTTTCACGCAAGAACCACCCACCAAAAGTCAGGTGCTGTACCTGACCAGCTCTTATCGCGGGTGTGGGCGGTGGAAACTCTCCGCTCCGCACTGGAGCCACTAAAACTCCATTCCGCACAGAAAGGCCAACATAGGCTAACAGTTACCCCAACCCTCCCCTCTACTCGCCAAATTCAATCCGTTTGTCCCCTTAACCCTTCGCTCCCGTATACTCTCCATCGATTGAAATCGCCATGTCGCGACACGCACAGGTAGAGGAGGTGTACGACTCCGATCCAGATGAGGTTTTCCCCTCCGACTCCACGCCCTCCAACTTCGCCAATGAATCCCTCCTCTCCGCCGCAGGTATCTCTCCCCAGGGCTCCTCGTCGATACCAATGAGGCCAGCCCCTGAACCGCGTCGCGAAATCCCGAAACACTACCAGTGCCTGTATCCCGTGTACTTCGACAAATCGCGAAGCCGCGCAGAGGGCCGCAAGGTCGGCGCAGAGCTGGCGGTGGAGAACCCATTAGCTCGAGACATTGTCGATGCTGCGCAGATGCTGGGATTGCAAGTTGGATTCGAGCCGGAAAAACTCCACCCGAAGGATTGGGCGAACCCAGGCCGAGTGCGCGTGCTGGTGAAGGACGAGGATGGGACATTGGCAAACCCAAAGATTAAGAATAGTATGTTTTTCTCTTCGTTCTCCTCCTTGGCTTCCTTCTATTATGCTATAAGCCTGGATTGGGGAACGTCCCGATGCTAGCCTAGGATATGTTGCTAACTTGTCTTCAGAACACCATCTTTACATCCTCGTGGCCCAGTATCTTAAAGCTCACCCAACAACCGACAAATCCCCTTACCGGCTGAGAATCAGTGGTCTTCCCATGCCAGACAAGCTTCCCCCTGCCCCTCCTGCTCCCCGCGGATGGAAGATCGGCACAATTCTTCCAATCCACTCGCCTGCCTACAGCGGCGGTGGAGTCAGCGATAACCCGCTCAAGGATGCTATGGCCGAGATGCAGAACATGCAGGGTATGCCAGGAATGCCTCAGATCCCTGGAATGCCCGCCGGACTGGCCGAGATGATGGGAGGAGGAGGAGAACCGTCCGGAGGCAGTGGCGAGAAGGAGAAGAAAAAGAAGGACAAGAAGAAGGGAAAGGCCTAAGGTGGCCTGCCATATGGAGTTATTACGATTGTCTACCTGTCCATATTGTGTACACGTTTTTGGCTGCATTGTACGGGCGTAAGGCGTTTGTTTACACCGATAGAGGGCTTCCACGGTCTTCTCTGATACCAAGTTGAAATCGAAAATGGTATTGCGAAGCGCTTTCAGCCGACCACCGTCTGTCTGATATTAGTGCGGTACAGAGTAAATAGTTGCAGTGTGAGATGCTGAAACGCTCTTGCGACCCTAAGCCATAGATACATACATACCTGTTTGATATACCCAGAGATGTGACTCATGCCATGCAGGTTATAACCGATATTATTTGGGTTCTACCGGAGGATGTCCATGTAGACAATATACTCTCATAGAAACGGAATAACCTAGATATCCCTCAAGGTCGTGCTTTTGAGCATACTAGTACTACTACTAGTAATAATCCATGGTCTGGCCATCGCCGAATTCCGTATAAGCCTCATCTGATTGGCCATCGGAACCAAATCGATCGTCACCGATAACGCGGACTTTACCCCAGACATAAACCAGCCTCGGCCATCATCATTTCAACCAAACAGTCGATATTGCACAGTGGGATGCCCCAGTATTGATTTCAACTATTTCTACACCTTCGCCCCTATGATCTGACTCGTCGTGACGCTTGCGCCGCTCCCGATGAATCCACTGTGCGGTCCCGTTGACGCTTGAAGAACCCCACCACTGCAATTAAGGGATTATGGACACGAGCCCAACAAGCACGTCGCCTGGCTATGGGCTTTCGAACCCGGGCGCGACAGGCCAGGCCCAGCTGAATAGGACCTCCGTCCCAGTATCTACCCCCCAGTCGACTGCGTCCCGGTCCTCGACAAAGGCCGGAGCTCGTCAAATTACCCGAAATCGCGCCAGCTACAGCTGTCATACTTGTCGGAGGCGCAAAGTGAAATGCGACAAGGTACGCCACCCTCTCTGGTGAGATTTATAGCGAGACACAATGTGCTGAACGGCCACTAGGTGCATCCTATTTGCGGAAATTGCGTGAAGAACGGAACCGAATGTATCTACGATGCTGCGCCACACAAAGACACCGGGTCGCGCCATGGCCAAACAGAAGGTGGACACGGTATCAAGCGACGGAGGGAGTCTTCGCGACCGCTGGACGAGGATATAGACGATATTGGCTCGCTTTACGGGCATCTGAGGCAGGCTGGGTCTCCCGAGCAGAAGTACGGGTCGCAGGCGATTGAAGCGCGGTTGGATAAACTTACGTCGATGATTGAGCGGCTCAGCAAGTCCAACGGACCTTTGGATGCGGAACAACGGCTTTTGCTGGCTCAAAATGTCAATCTGGAAGCCGGGAAGGGTGAAGCTCGACTGGGGAATGGCGCGCCCGTGAAGCCTGCGGGCGCGTCTCGTCCAGATAGCCCCCGCCGTACGGATTCGAGTGATGAGTTTCCGATTCCCGCTGGCCTTGCTACTGACTTGGTGGATCCGGTGGGTAGCTTGAATCTGGGTCATCTGAGCTTGGAGGATGGAGGTCGGTCGAGGTACGTCACACGTTTCTCACTTGCGTACAGGTGGAGCTGATTCATTGTTAGATATGTTGGGACAACCTACTGGGCTTATATATCCCATGAGGTATGACACAAGCTATACCTTAGTACTTTATATGATATAGACTGACACTCGCAGATCAATGAGCTCAATCAGTTACTCAAGTACCAGAGTCGCTCGCATCAGGACAATACGGCTAACGAAAGCTCTGCTGACGAAAACATGACGGATACGATAGCGAAAACAGCAGGTAGTCCGTGGAAGGCAGCGGTTGATAGCCCTGGTGGAATCTCACGGGATCGAGTATGTGGTGAAGAATTCCAGAAGTCGGTGCTTTTCCCTACGGGTGATTCCCCATCGGTGAAAGAGAAGCATGTCGAACCAGAAATGCTTGATCATGTGCCGACGAAACGACAGAGTCATATCCTGTACAAAGGATTCATGTCTGGAATACATGCTATCAGCCCAGTGATTCATCCCCCAACAATCTTGAAGCTATACAATTCCTTCTGGGACTGGTACGATTACAGCAGCTATTCTGGGGATCCTTGCCCGGATCCTTCGTTTATTCCGCTGCTTTACGCTATTTGGTACGGTGGGTCGGTTACAATATCGATTCGGACCATCAAGGCTGAATTCAATGTATCTTCGCGATCCGCACTTTCTAAAACTTTCAACGACGAGGTCACACGGTGGTTGACGAAGATATCGTTTCCGCGCAGCCCTTCGCTACAGGGTTTGGCTGCGTATCTCCTGGTCCAAACGATACTTTCAAAGGAGGAAGAGCCGTTAACCAGCAGTCTGTTCATTAGTCTGGCCATGAGAGTAGCACAGACGATGGGCCTGCACCGAGATCCTGCTAAATTTGGGATTAAACCCTATGAAGCCGAGTATCGGCGGCGAATATGGTGGCATATCGTACATATGGATGGCGTTGTTGCTATGTCTAGCGGGCTACCTCCCTTGGTCAGCGATGAGAACTACTGGGATGTCCGTGATGCCAGCGAGGTCAAAGACACACTTCTAGGGACACCCGAGGCTGAAAAATACGAGGAACTGGTGGCATCCGGTATGCGGTCTCCTGACAATCCGGATGATCCAACTTTGTGCGGTGGACCATCTATGGTCAACGTGTATTACTTATCAGCCAGGGGCAAATATGTCATGGCCCGTAAGTTACACCTCTATTGCATTATGATCGATAGTATTAACGTGGACAATAATAGGCGCCGTCCGTCGGATATTGAAGATTCAACTGGGCACGAAACCCGTGACGCGCAGGGATATGGAGGAGCTCCGATCAATCCTCCTCGACCTGCAACTCAAACTCAATTCTATAATCGATAGAATCCCAGAAATTGAAAATTACCAGCTGTCTTCCAGCGCTGATAACAGATCGCTTTCGTTTTCGGTCTCTCCGGTAGAGATGAGAACGAGCGACTTGGAACTTCCCGGAGAAGGCCCCGGTCGTTGTACGGAACAATATCACTCTCCTGTTCTCGTGTCTTTTCATAAATGGGCCAGGATCCTGCTCTCGCTCTTTATTGATAAGGTGAGTGTCCCTAACATTAACTTTTGAGAGACCGTTTCTAACGTATCGCAAGGCGTTCTGTGTCGCCTACCAACCGTTCCTGAAGAACGCTAAGAGCCGTATTTGGCCAGCGGCAAGACATAGGTATGATCAGATGACGCGTTTCGGAAACAAGGCTATTCTGTTCTGTTCTGACCCCAAAATAGTGCTCTCCGCCATTGCCACGGCTTTATGGAGAAATTCATATCCCTTGCCACCGACCCTGACTTTCAACCGTTTCAATGGAGCTGGCCGGGGAACCACCAGCCAATGCATGCGGCTATGATCATGCTCATCGATCTTTACGAACGGCCTTATAGCCCCGAGGCACCCAAGTCAAGGGCATTCATCGACAAGATCTTTTCACTCACCGGGCCAGATGGCGGTGTTGTCGGCGGCGAGGACGCATCTCAGCCCAACGGCCACTGAAAGACGGCGGCCGCGAGGCATGGGATATGATTCGCAGGCTACGTCAGAAAGCGTGGCAGAAAGCCGGTCTGGATCCACATAAGCTATGGACCGAGCAAGCACAGATCCAAGCCGGTGCAGCATCCGGACCGGACGAATATCCATGCGCCTCCAATCCATATTATGCCAATAGCGGCTCTACAGCGCCGACTCCCTCGATGTCCACCATGACGTCGCGACAACAACTTGCCGACTTCTCGAAGATGTTCTACAACATGACACGCTCGCACATGCTCCCCAACCCGGTCTCCACCATCCGACCCAGTCCCCTTCGATACCAGCTACCCCAAACTTCTGCCCCAACTTCCATCCCAGACACGCCGCCAAATCTACCGACTCCCCAGATTCCCCAATCGCCCGCAGCCAAGGCCAATGCGACGGTCGACACTCCTCCCCCTGCTTCCACCCTCTCCTCTCCTGACCGCATCATCCCACCCCTGAGCACCGCCATCCCTTTTACTTCCACTCCGCCCCCGCCCTTGTCTTTCATGGACCTGGCCTCGCCTAGCGCCCAGTCCATGGCCGCCGGCCCAACGCCCCCCTCCATGATGGACCCGAACCTGAACTTCGACTGGGACCAGTGGGACGCGGTCTTCGGCCAGCATCTCCCCGTCGCCGACGAGCTCATGGAACTAGATCCCGTGGCTGGGTTCGAGTTTGGGGATCTTGGCGGTGGCATGGGTGGCGGTAGTCGGACGGCGAGTCTGGGGGGCAGTGAAACGGGGTTGGGCAGTATTCCTGGCCCCGATTGGGTTGGATACTGTTGATGCTCTATTTGTTTTGAACCAGCCTGTTTGGGGAATTTAGAGGCGTTTGTTTATTTTTGTATTCTACGGTACATATACCTGGTCGTTTTGTATATAGGTTTTTATGAACGAAGCCACACTCCTGTTTACGACATACTACGCATACTTGGGGTAGAAGAATTAAAAACCGATAGTCCTGAATAACAGGGTGAAACTGATATTTTTTTTTCACCTATCCAAATTCTGGATGGAATGGCGGAGAAAAGCGGGCGGTATATAAGTTTTGATGTCCTAGTGTAGGGCAGATGATAATGCAGAAAGAGACATAACAGCTTTGGGATTCATGAGGCGTGACTGATCTCAAGCAGGATACTGAGGAAGCGATATAGAGGGAGCTATAGTAGAAGACTAGGGGGTGAGACTGAGGGGTTCCTCGAAGGGATTGCCCAGTCTCACTTGCTCTGTCAGGATTAGGATAATTGCGTTCTCCAGCACCTTCCTTCTTTCATTCAAGACATTATTCGCAGCAAACTGTAACCTAGACCTTCATCTCCTTAAGGCCGTGCTTCCAGAGAGTGGCGTAGGGGGTGACACCGTCCTCGCGGTAGTCAATAAGGACAAGCCTGTGAATATGTTAGTGGGTGCTGACAATGAGAAGATCACTGGAAAGAGATGAGGGTTGAGCGTACATAGCCTCAGCATCAAAGGATTCACCAACGAAGAAATCGTAGTTGCCGCAGTTGGCAACGATCTTCTTGACGGCGGCAGGGGCACCTTTCTTGAACTCGTCGATCGTCTCCTTGGAGGCCTTGTTCTCCTCAAGTTTGTTGAGGACCTTCTTCATGTAGCCTGGAGAGAATGTTAACGTTCATGCTCTAACATGTTTTGGGGTGATCTTGTGAGGCTTGCCCTTAATGTATTTCTTGTAATCATCCTTGGACATCTTGGGGTATTCCTGGAGACGGAACTGGTCCACAATGTCGAGGACCTGAATGGTTCCATCATCACCGCCAGCGTCCTCGTCACCACCCTCAGCAGAGGGGTTGGCGCCCTCGAGCTGGATGTCTTCGTTTGCCTTCTTCGTAATGTTCTTGCAGTCGCACTCGAAGAGGACACCTTCGACCTCCTTGAGATTGAAGGTGTCAGAGACAAGCTCATCGTCAGAGAAGATATCCTATAGCAAGAAGTACTTGTCAGTATCTCATTCACCTATCCGATGTGGGCCTAACGCAGCGGATTGCATGTCTTCAAGCATTGTTGACATTGGCAATCATGGAAAAAGTGGGGTAATTCCAGCCCTCGGAGAAGAAAAGGTCATACCTTGAAGATGATCATTTTGATAGATGAATAGGAATCAACCTAGGTAATAAGAAAAAAAGACGAAGATGAGGAAATGAGAGTGAAATGGCACACGGCTAGACAAGAGGAAAGGAAGGAGAAGGAAGAAAGAGGGGAATACTAATATTTGAAGTTTTAGTGCCACCCGTTTTTCTTGACCAACCTTTTTGGTGGGGTTAATTTTTTTTTTTTTTTTTTCTTTTCCCTCGTTCTTCGCTGGTTGGTTTCGAGGGGCAGCAAACCGACGCTAACGCCCGATTGGGACTGGTGGACTTGTCTGGCCCGATCAAGTTTGCTCGGGGGCACCTGACAGTGGGCGAGGAATACAAGCACAATGTCTACTCAATTCAGGAGGGAAGGTAGGAATCTCTAGAAAATCAGTCCAGTGACATTAGCGGCCCATAGAAGGGTAAAACGATCTCAATGGGGGTTTGTTTGCTGGTTCTATTATATAGATTCTTAACTAACTTAACTACCGGGAACTGTCAAATCTTACATAAGATTGCGGATGCTGCCTGAGCCATTAGGCTGCAACTGCAGTCCATCAGGGGTGATCGGCCAACCATGCAGACCGCCCTGCATACATGTGGGAATACCGTTTGAATACCAAAATGACCCATCGACAACCGGAGGACCAGTGCCAAATGACGGGTACGAAACACCAGCGTATTATCGATCAGATTATCGGCCGCCTGGCACTTCCCGTGGTGCCACTTCAACTTTCGTCTCCCCATCGCGCATTCCCTTCCTTTATATCTCTCGACGACCTCTCCCGTGTGCCCAGTGCCCACAGGTGACGCTCTTTACCTTGCTCCGACTTGTCTTGTTTGGCTCCGAATTGATACCCGTCCTTTCTGCCATTCATCTCGTCTTCGGACCTCCCACGTCCGAACGCATCTCCGGCCCCTCGGTTCGTGCATTCTCCGTTCGCCTCCCCTAAATTGTGGATCGCGAAAGATCCGGATCCAGCAACCGCGGCCCTTCTTGTATACTACTAGTACCTCTTTTTTTTCTGTTCTCTTCTTCTCTCTCTGTTATCGATATTCTTTTTTGGCTCCGCCCTGTTTAGACCGCGTGACCCGTCAACCTCCAATCCATGTGTTGATCGTCCAAACCTTTCCTGCTGTATCTTCAACACCTTCTAACATCGGCTGGCTGTTGTCTTGACCATGGCAGTCAATGCGTCGGTGGTCTATGACCTCCCGCCTCTTCCGGCGTATACCTTGACACCACGTCCACCTCTTTTATCTCCGATTCCTGATAACATCTTGGCGCTGATCCTACCGATTATCGCTTACTGGGCCTTATCCATGGTCTATCACTACATTGATGTCTACGACTTATTTCCTCAGTACCGTTTGCATACTCCAGCGGAGGTCCTCAAAAGGAACCACGTATCGCGTTGGGAAGTCGTGAAGGATGTCATTCTACAACAGATAATTCAAACCATAGCCGGTATGGCGATGTCGTACTTCGATCCCGTGGAATGCTTTGGGAAAGAGGAATATGATGTGGCAGTCTGGGCCCAGCGTATCCGCCTCCTGCAAAGGGCCCTCCCACGTTTGTTGGCGGCGTTCGGCATTGACTCGATCGGACTGGCGAAATCTCTGACGAAGAATGGCCATACGATACTGGGAGCTGTTCTCGCCGGTGGACGCTATCCGGGACTCACCCAAACCTTGGTCTTGGAGAATGGCGTCGAAGCCATCGCTCCGGCATTCGCCGGTTGGGAATTGTCCGTGGCTAGCTTCATCTACTGGTACTTCATTCCTACGGTGCAGTTTGTCTGGGGTGTATGTGTCGTGGACACCTGGCAGTATTTCCTCCATCGTGCCATGCACTTGAACCGTTGGCTTTATGGTAAGTCCTATATCTAGCTTCTTCACCTCTCGCTCGATGATCTAACTGGTTTGGTAGTCACCTTCCACTCGCGCCACCACCGCCTATACGTCCCATATGCGTTCGGTGCTTTGTACAACCACCCCGTGGAGGGATTCCTCCTCGACACTGCCGGTACCGGTGTTGCGTTCTTGACCGCTAGAATGACCAACCGCCAGGCCATGTGGTTTTTCACCTGTTCGACTATCAAGACCGTTGACGATCACTGCGGTTATGCGTTCCCCTGGGACCCCTTGCAGCACTTTACTTCCAACAATGCCGCCTACCATGACATTCACCATCAGAGCTGGGGTATCAAGACCAACTTCTCCCAGCCCTTCTTCACCATCTGGGACCGGCTTCTCGAAACTCAATGGAAGGGTGATGTTAAACTTCGTTATGAGCGGGGTCGTGACGCAGCACAGAGGAAGCTGGACAACGACAGCGCTCACGAGGTTCGAGCCAACGGAGAGGGCGTATCGTCTTCCGCTACGGTCTCATCGGATGAGCCGGCAGACACAACTGCACGATCACGATTGCGCAAAAGGACGGCGACCTTTGACGGCCTGAAGGGCTCGAAGCACGGGGTGGCCAGCAGCGTCCTCTAGTCCTCACCTTCTGGCTTCTTCTGTACCTTTCGCTACCTTCTTTCCTCCCCTCGGGTATTCTCTTCTCGGTGAATATTTTTATAATCCTAATATCTTCTTTCTCGACTCTTTTTTGTTACATTGAAGGGCTTCGGAGGGGCAGGACGCCTCCGAACTTTCAGGACTATTGTTAGTATTAATATTGGGGATCATGAGTATATGTTGGCTTGTACAATGACTTCTCTTTGGTGGTAAACTCATTATAATTAGGACGATTTATGGCAATGGGTTTGGACCGCAGGGTCCATCACTACCTTTCTTTTCAATCTTTTTTCTTTGACTTTCTCCAGAGCCCTTTGCTCTTTTTTTTTTCTCAAAGAACGTTTTTTCTTCTTCTTTTGCTTGTATTATGAATTACATACTAGGTTATGTTTTGAATGCACAACAGATGCTTGATCAACACCGTGTGTATATCTCCCAAGCGACGCAGCGTTGGAACACAGGCGGCGTTCAGGCCGATGTGATCACATCCTACCTTATTCTTTCAGAAGCACCCCTAGGATCTAAATAGAAAGCTCCAGTTGGTATCTTGACTTTCCCTGTTTCCTATTGGATTGCCTTCGTAATCTGACTGGGAGAACCGTTCATCGTGTTCCGATTCGTAGTATGGCTGAACTGGGCTGAGCAGATTGCGGTATTGGGTCGCTATTTGCTCACATCCGTCATCCCCTGGGGGTTCTTCCCAGTAGAGGCTTTGACCTCCGGTGGAAAATAGGTCCAAGGAGTTGGATCTACCCAACACATGCTTCCAGTTGGGCATTTTCCGGGGAGGGATGTACCTGCTTGTATATCCATCATCGACATCATCGGCGGGTTTTTCCATTGGGGCTTTTCTCTTGTGGATTGATGGTGAACGACCAGGCAACGGATCTGGTGTGGAAGTTAATGGAGCGAGCCACGGGTTGTCCTTAGGGGAGGTAGGTGACACATGAGAGGGTGATTCGTCGGTGTAAGTGACAGAAGAGACATCTGATTGACTCTCCATCGCACAGGATGTGGGAGAGGATATCCAATTCAGAGGTTGAGGCTCATTGTACAACCCGACTATTCCAGCAAGGGTGTCGGTGTCACTATCGTGTCTTTTGGGCACCGGCTCAGACGTTGTGTAGGGTTCACCATGGTTTCCGTCCTTTTGTCGGTCCCCGTGGAATGACTCGAGAACCTCCGGATCTATGCCAATGGGAACTACAATCTCATCTGTGGCTTTTGAGGTCTCTTGTTTGAGACTCACAATAGGGTTAGACATCATCCGAGCCCGGTGAGCATGTTTCCGCTGACGCTTCATGGCTGTCGCCAGAGTGCTGCTGCGCCAATGTATCCTATCGATGAAGCCTTCATGGCAGGCTATGCTTTCATCCACGAACGGGAGGAACGTCGGTACCCGATGATTCCTCCTGGTTGCTGTCCGGCTCAGGAGGGCTGTCCGGAGATGTTGCAGGAATTTCCGCCCGTTGACAACCCGGGCTAGGATGCACGCTTCGCACTTATTCTGCTGGTACGTGACCGGGCTTCCTTGGACAACTCGTCGAGAGGGGGTCCACATGTAATGTATGTCCCGCAGGCTGTACACAATATCTCGCACTTTGAGATCGACGCCGTCAAGGCGAGCATCCCGGAGCACACTATGGTACCAGTAGAGGCACTCCAAATGCGTGATAACCTCGCATCGCAGCAGCTCGAATATGTATTGGATAATGTAGGGGTTCAGTTTTGTGTGCAAATCACACAGGGCCACGGCCGGCGCCCGACCTATGAGGTTCATCCAGTGATCTAGCCAGTGCCTCTGCAGGACCGAGGGAAGTTTCTTGATCGCCTTCATTATCTCGCCTTTGTCTCTAGGCTCGTTCCCAGCTGGGTCGATGAACCCTATGCGCAGGACTCGGGTTAGCAGTCTCACTTCCTCCTTGCTGAGACTAGCCACTGACCGAAGGCATTTCATCTCTACCTCGGGGTGTTCTTGGGACGATCGGGGAAGGTCGATAGTATTCTGGCTTCGTTCGTGGCGTCCTGTCGGCGACTAGACGCACTATCCAGTGAGATCGCAGGTATCATATTCTCGACACTAGCGATGGGCGTTTCTCCAGCGCTAACCGGAACTGTTCTGTCTGTTATCTGAAAAGCAAACCCTTGTGTGGATCTATTTGGACCAACTTTTGGGAGCCAACTTTTGGAAGTGGGGACGGGACCAGCTGAAACAGGACGAGAAAGCAGGCCATGAAACCAGTAGGGGCTCAATGACTGCTTTATACACTGTGACTATGTTTTTCTTTTCCTTTATTTTTCTTTTTTCAGGAACAAAGTCTTTGTGATTGATGCAGTGGCATTCTGAAGTTGTATGTATTGTTTCTTTCAACAATGCGGAGTGGGAGTTTTTCTGTTCGATATCTTTTTTGTTCCTCATGTATTCATTGTTTAAATAATCGCCACTATTTCATCCAATTCAAGATATCGGAGATGAGTTGGAGACGCTGCTGGTTTGGGGAGTCTGCTGCGGTGATATCCAGTGTCTCTTGAAGAGGAACGATTTGGATCGGTGGGAAAGATAAGGATTTCTTGGTAAAACATACAATGAAGTATTGCTCGATGGGAGAGATCCTAAGATGAAAGTCATGATGCGTGAGAGATTTAGCTGGGGGGAGATATAAGCAAAGGAATAAGTCCTCGGGGTCTGACAACAGGTGTACAGAAAACACTTGAGATAAAGATAGTATATTCCGTATGGAGTTCCCATCTCCTACTAATCCTCCGTTGATTCTACACAGCAAACTTGGACAACAATTCGTCCAGTGCCATCACTCTACGAAGCAGCAGCCTGGACCTTTCTCCAGAAATCACCTACTACTTTCTTTCGTCCGATCGTGATCGAAAAAGTCGCGCATAAAGTTCCATGGACGGCCGAACTATATTGTCGTCCATAAGACGTCGGACTAATCCAGGGTTAGCAATATGTGAACAAGGGAGTCAAGAAAGAGTCAGGCTTATATACCAAGGGTCCCTAGAGCGCTCTAGGTCATACACCCTCACTTTGTTCGTCTGAATGCCTAATTTACTTACTGTAGGAGGCAAGAGCATAGCCTGGGCATCAAGGTTCAGTTGAGAAGTCGGATTGCCATTCAGAAGGTTCCTGGTCATGTATTCTGAACTGGTGCAGAGACCGAGGTTCCTGATAAGTTGCCTGTGAGTGCCAGCGAGAAGGTTCTCCAGACTGAGCTCAGTGCGATTGCGAGCAGTTTGGTGATAGGAGAGTTGGATCAAGGTAGTAGACATTGAGGCTCTACCACGAACAATCTAACCTGAACTGCCAAAAAACAAGGTCATGTTACATCATAGGAGCACGTAGACATATGCTAAGTTCCTTTCCCTCTATTGTTGCGTAGTTTGCCCATGTCTCCTACCGCTGCAAAACAGCCAATCTGCCCCGGACAGGCACGTTCTCCTTGCTTCCAATCTCCGGGAATCCCGTCACATTGACCCCTTCCTGGAAGACGACACAATGGGACGATCCTCCATAATGAAACATTCCAATTTGGTCTCCCTTCTTGACAAACTCCCCTTCTTTCACAGTAATGTCACACGTTGAGATTTCTACCATACCAATCCCCAGAAAGCCCACCAGGCCGATATCCGGGTCATCCGACTGAATGAAGATCACTGCTCGTGTCGCCATTGCGGACAGATACACCTGATATGCAATTTCGACCCCTTCTTGGCCATCGTCAGCATCCTTGTCTATGGCTCGGGGCGTAGAACAATAAGTCCCGTCAATCGTGTATGCCTTCACAACCTTCCCCGAGACAGGCGCGTGCCACCGGTGATAACTAAACGTGTCTAGGTAACCTTGGTAGATAGTCCCGCCGATGAAACAGTCCGGAAACCCAGCCCCAAACATATCAACCAGGGAATAGGTCTGGCCTTTGATCCAGAAACTATCCCGAGCTTTCACATCCATGGCCAAAGTGAAGGGCTGCGATTCGCATGCATTGGCGATGACCGCGTCGTCATCTGGTGAGGCGACGGGCCGAATGTTCTCTCTAAACGGGCGCGTGAAGAACGCATCCCAAGACCGGAAGCCGTAGTTGGGAGCAGTGCGGTCGCAGACGAACAGCTCGTCAAACTCGTAGGTCGTGCCGCCGACATTACCCATGCTGATCAGTTTGCGCATCGATGCGTCCCCAAACCAGCCCGTGGACGAGGTATCGAGCACAGATGCTGATTCCGGCGAGGAGAGAAACTGGCTCCACGCATCCAGTACCTTTTTGAGCATGGCGTTGACCTCCGGGTCAACGAAGACAGCGTAGCCGCTGACTGTCGGGATGGCGTATTGGAACACCCCGATTATGGGAACCCCAGCGAGGATTTCCGTGTACGGCGGTGCGTGCGTGATGATATAGTTCAGCACTTGTAGCATCTGCTGGTAGTCTTGGACTTCATGGCTACGGTTCCGGTCCGGACCCCCCTGCTCCTGTGCCTGGGCCCACATGGACTGGAACAGCATGTAGATGCGTGGGTTGGATTCAATGAGGTGCTGGAATTCTTGCAGCACAGGGTGCAGCTCGCCGGTGCCCTGGCTGACTTCCTTGGTCAGGTTCGCGAGCCATGTCGCACGGGCTTTATCGGCAGTCTGTTGAGTTGGCCTGTTTCACGACCGTTATAAGGGATTGATCGTGCTTGAAATGCGGGCTGCACGGAATGGGACATACCTCTGCAGCGGGTCGCGGTTAATGGTGGTTTCTATCAAAATAGTTTAGCGTAATGTGCTTGGATCGACTAGTACTTACTTGATTTAGAAAACGAAAGACGTTAGATATCATCTTTACTCAGGTTAGCACCGGCAGGTATGTAGGATGCGTAGATGAGAAATAGTTGAGGTTTTGTGAAAAGAGAATCATGGAAAGGACGACGATGACGGCAGTTGACGCAAGGGGGAAAAGAAAGAAAAAGCAAAAGAGTTTCTCATACATCGATTTTCAATATGCATAGCAAGATTCTTGGCGACCCATCGACAAGCAACGCCATCCGCTACCCTGGGCGATGTATGGATTATATCTTCCACTATAATGTGCGTCTGAAGCATAAGAGCTGCTGCAAACATTATTCTTGCACGCTTTGAGGCAGTTATTCCACTTCTGCATCATACTTGACATCACGGAATATAGGCAGGCTTCAAAACTCCTCATTGAAGACTCATAAATATTTTCGAGGCTTACTATGTACTCTTTAACCCTTCGGAGCTAGACATTATGATTTCTATTTTGTTCAAAGTCAGCTGGGCTCTGCAACAAAAGGCGATGGGATCCATGCTTTAGGGTTACCAAAAACTGGAGCGCTACCATTGGATAGATCACGAATGGAGACTCTGATACAAGAAGAGGAAGAAAGGAAAAGACAACAGGGAAACAGGAGAGAATGTTAGGCTGATAGGTGTACGATGAGCCTGTCTACCTATTCTACTAGTATATTAATACAAAGGGCTCTAGAAGGTGCCCGGCCATAGCGATCGAGCATAATATAGTCCTTTAGACCTCTTAGGATCACGTGTCCATAGACATGCTTCTAATGAAGAAACAGAAGAAGCCAGAGCACTTCTGAAATCCGACGTTGTATTCCCCCCCGCTCAGGCTGGCTGCAGCCCTAATTGGGATTCCAAGAATTGGTACCTCACCTATAGACTCTGGCGCGACGCCTTGACCTATCTATTATGGTTGTCTACATATTCACCAAGCTTTATCTATTAGATCTCAGAATATATTACATCGAGTCGTGCTACTGTTCTCTCTGCACTGTCTGACCGTTGGTCCTCCATCGAGAGCTACCTTGTTCTGCTTATGTACATCGTAGGGCTGGCTTGCAACGTCTGAGATTTATCTCCAAAATTGAACACTTCAAGTCTATCATCAGTAGCCCTGAAGGCTCTAGACTGGCCTACCCAGTATATCAGAAGTATATTGGGTGTCTATTTGCAAGTATGTCGGATTCAACAATGCCAAGAATGATACGGGGTATTAACGGCACAGGTAGAACGCGCGGTTCTTTTTAAATCGCGCGCTATAGTTGTGTTGCTATGCCCAATCAGCTGACATCTTTCAATATAGCGGAGTGAATTATAATGACCAAGGTGACTCATGGAGACATGTGGCCTTCAGCTTGCTTTGCCTGATCCCTGTTCCTCTGATGTAGGTCGTGCATGGGGACAGTCTTACCTGGAAGAGTTGTGACTACACGGTCCTGGATCCTTGCCCACAAGCAAGACTAGGACAGGGTATGTTAGCCGTGTTTATCATTGTTCAGCAAGAAATATGGAGACGCCTAGGAGTAGTTCGTAGCGAGGGCGCCATGGATCATCACATGAGTGGATGTCGATCATCTGGACGAGCCCCGATTAATCCGATTCGAGCTTGTGTCGCTTGGCCGCGGCAATGAAAGCTCATCTGGAGCCGCCACTAAATACAAGTGCGTCTGGGCACATTCTCAATCCGAGTCTAGGGCATGAATAGGGAGCATCATGTGGATCTTGCCGAGGATGATGGTCCCTATCATGGGGCACGCTCAACCCGCCTTACTGGAGGGACAGATTTACTAAAACGAAAGGATATCGTGGTTAGTCGGATCGGATTTTGCACACGAAAAAAGACTCCTAGAATAGTTAAACATAGTGCGTCGCTCTTTCCTTATTTTTTGTGCCTCTGCCGTTCGCTCACAATATGGATACAGGAACTTAGATTTCGACTGTTGGCGGATACTGCCGTAAGCTCAAGCCGCAATTCCAGACCAAAGCTGATATCTCATGGCTTTCCCCATGAAGAGGAAAAATGGACGAAAACCGCCCTTGCCCTATACAGCGTCGCCGTTGAGGTTGCTGTGCGCCGACATTCTCCTCGTCCTCAGGAGTCTATGGTGTCTGCCGGGAATAATACTCCCGCTGTCTTCCTCGGATGAGCTGGACGAGCTATTTCCTTCGACAGAGAACACGTTCAATGTCATTGCACATGTTGTCCTGGCTCTGTGCCAGGTGGCTTTCTTACTGTCGGTGGTGGGTGGTTTCTTGTGTATGGTGCCGGCATTGTGGATCTCAATCTATGTGGTGGTCTTTGTATGGATCAATCGAGCCATCTGCGCGCTTGTCTTCAACAATACAGACGAGGTTCTCGAGTCACGAGTCCCTATCGAGGAGCGGCCGGAACATGAACGTGAATGTTGGGTGTTTATCAATGGCGTCGCGGTCGGGTAAGTTGGGAGCGTGTTCCGACCCAGATATACCAGTGTCCGTGTCTCTTACCTATTAGAATAGACGACATTGGCTGCAAAATAACATAGACCGGCTTGCCTATACTTTTGGCCGGAAAATCATCGGCGTGCATAATCCGACGTACGTTGCCCCTTGACAGTTCCCTGGTTACATGTACATATAACGCCCTTACAGAGACGGCATCGTATTCGATGTAATCGAGTGCTTGATTCAAAGGAACTTTACATTCGCAACGCCGGATACAAGGGATGGTTATGCCATCACGAAAGCGACACTGTTGAATCCGAAGTATGAGAAGGTGGTCCTGATCCTGCACAGCCAAGGTGGAATCGAGGGCAGTCTGATCATCGACTGGCTCCTGGACGAGCTGCCAGAAAATGTCCTGCGCAAACTCGAAGTATATACGTTTGGGAACGCTGCCAACCACTTCAACAACCCGTACAAATCGTTTCTGGGCTACGGAGAGCCCCCCGCTACAGACTCCACGATATCTGAGCAGGATGCCTCGGTGCAAGCGGAGAGAAGTGTTCTCCATATTGAGCATTATGTCAATGCTTTCGATTTTGTATGTGTTTGGGGGGTGTTGCAATTTGCCAGAGTCCCAAACCGCTATATGGGCCGGATCTTTGTCCGGTCGGGTTCTGGCCACCAGCTAAACCAGCACTATCTAGACACCATGTTCACGCTAGGACCAGACAGGAGAGTCCTCGACACCAATGAATTTATGGAAATGGGGGCGAGAACGGTCGAGTATGAGAAAATCCTGCCGAAACACGTCAGACACGAGAGAAATGAGGTGCTTGTCACCAATAAGCGCCCGTCGGATGGCTACAGGACCACCCCTGCTAGTCAACGAGGACAAGGAGATCAATACGAGCGACGGCCGTTGAAGGTCAAAGATCTCAGCCGGTTATGGCAGTATCGCAATGGTGGTTCGCCTGTGGATGGATGATCGAAGGATGTACATGGAAGGCTTTGGCCCACCCGTTTTCTTTTGTTTTTCTCTATTTTCTTTTGTCCCCTAGAGAATTATATAGAGAGGCACATTCTATGTCATGGTAGGAAATTAAATGTCTTATCTGAATGCGACCAGGAGACTCCACTTGAACCAGGGATAAGCAATGGACGGAACCACGGAATGTTGGCCGATCTCTCAGAATTCCCGACGGCGATCCGAGTCAAAAAGTTCTTCGCTTCTGACTCAGGCCTAATGGACCAGTCGGATTGTTCATAACCCAGCTCAAACACCGCATTGTGTGGAGTTAGCGTAGTATGGACACCGCTCTTATTCTTTTTTCAAGATCGATAGGACAGGCCCACAAGTCGCCCGCATCGCTCATGCTGGGAGACTAAGACCAAGGCGAGTTCTTGCGTGCCACTTGTGCCCTTGTCGTTCTTATCTTCTTGCGAACGCAGGATGTCGGACTTCTTCGAGGGTTTCCAGCAAGTCATCGGCCCCTCACTATCGCAGCTCGGAGGGGAAGAGGGTGTCTATGGTTCAGATGGCGGTCTAGTCCAGAGGTCGGTTCATACTCGCTGGGCTGCATTAGCCAAGCTAATTGATTCCAGGCGCCTCTGGCAATATCGAACACAGAAAATCTCGGCTTTCGTGGCCACAGGTAACTTGCATCTTGCCGCTGTCCTGTTGTCATGTGTAGTATTTCTTGCGTTCGGCCTGCGTTATGCGGCGTGTGCCGGCAGGTCAAAATCTCGGATGCGAACAGAATCACTCAATGAAGATCTGCCCATTAGGGTTTCTTTACCTTTTGCATTGTTGCATCTGGCTGCTGCAATCGCTGCTTGTTGTCTCGGCTGGATCGATGCACAACATACAGAGAACTGGAAACAAGCGATCGCTGTGAGCTATGGGGTCTTACTGAGCTTGATGCAGTTTTGCTTCAGCAATGAGCGTACTCGCACTCACCTATATCGCCATGTCAATGCAGTGGCTCTTGCGATATTCTTCCTAGCGTGCGTCCAGGATTTGATTCCCTTGTTGATTGTCGGGGCGACATCTGGCCTCAGTGGGATCAGGGGTGGCCTCATAGTTTGCCTGGCTGCTGTGTTGATAGTCGCAGCTGCGACACCCAGACCACGCCGTTTGTTTGCTGCTGATCCAGAAAACGAGGAAGCGAAAACGGTCCAAGAGGTGTCGCCCGAAGAGACCTGTTCTTTGTTCTCATACTATTGCTCGTACGAATGGCTGACATACGTGATCTTGCGAGGCTGTCGGAGGGACCTAACGATGGATGACCTCCCTCCTTTACCCTCGTACGATGAACCCTCTAAGTGGCTCAAAAAAATCAAGAGGCAGCGGCTCAAAGGCGGCAAGACTTTCCGAACATTGTGTAGGTTGCTCAAGACCGAAATCAAGAGCATGATGTGCTGGTCGTCCATCACGGCAGTTCTGGATTTTGTCGCACCGTATTCCATGCTGCGACTGCTCGCGTACCTGGAAAACCCCGACGATGCCATCCTTCATCCAGCCCTGTGGGTGGCCCTTTTGTTTATCGGCCCAATGTCGCGATCGCTGTGTTATCAGCAATACATCTTCACTGCGACGCGACTTCTTGTTAGAGTCAATATGTCGCTGGTACAGGAGATATATCAGACCGCAATGCGGTCGTACCTCTATGATGACTCGATCGCCGAAGCCAGTACAGAAGATCGCCCGAGATCCTCTCGAAAGATGAGAGATGCCGCGAAAGGGGCGCCCAAGTCGAGTCAAGCGAACATAACCAGCCTCATGTCGTATGATGTGGACGCCATCTACAACTCTCGCGACATCTTTTTCGTGGTTACTGCAGCCCCAATAGCCACCACAGTTGCCGTGATATTCCTCTATCGAATGCTCGGCTGGCCATCGCTTTTTGGTGTCTCTGCACTTCTATGTCTGTCTCCTCTCCCTGCCTTGGCCTCTCGCAGGGTGTCACGCATCCAGAGATCTGTTATGCAGGCTACGGATGTTCGGCTCTCTAAAATATCAGAGTACTTGAACTCCATACGTACGCTGAAATATTTCGGCTGGGAGCATGCCGCAATGGACTCTATCAACGAAGCTCGAGGTGTGGAACAACGCCGCCTCTGGAGACGGAGTGTTTATGCAGCGGCAATTTCCATGTCTGGCGACCTGCTACCGATGGTGAGCTTGCTGGTCATGTTCTCCGTCTTTGTGCTATTTACCAATGACACTCTGCGCGCCGCAACGGCCTTCACATCTCTGTCTATTATGGAGACCTTGCGGTCCCAATTCGTCTGGCTGTCCAATATCAGCCGAGCCTCTGCCCAAGGGGCCGAATCGCTGCGGCGAGTCGACCGCTTTTTCGATACAGCAATGGAAATCAAACATCACCCCGAAGGACCATTGGAGCTCAAGAATGCAACGTTTCGCCGCACCCCGATTGCTGCTTTCAGATTGCATGATGTTTCAGTTCGCTTCAGACCACGCGCCCTGAACGTAGTGACCGGTCCCACCGGCAGTGGAAAGACTTCTTTATTACTTTCGTTGCTGGGAGAAACTGTGCTCGAATCTGGAACGGCCTCATGCCCACGAGACGTGGCTTATGTGCCACAAGCTCCTTGGCTCCAGAATGACACCATTCGTGAAAACATCACCTTCTTCAGCCCATTTGACAAAGCTCGGTACAACGCAGTGATCGAAGCAAGCGGGTTGGTTCAAGACCTCCGACAGCTGCCGGCTGGCGATCTTACCGTCGTGGGCGAAAAGGGCACATCGCTTTCCGGTGGTCAGAAGCAAAGAGTATCCTTGGCGAGGGCGCTATATTCGCAGTCCTCCACCCTCCTGCTGGACGATATCTTTTCTGCGCTTGACACTCATACCACTACACTGGTTTACGACAAGTGCTTTCGCAGTGGCTTGCTCTCAGATAGAACGGTCGTTCTTATCACGCATTATCCGGCCGCGTTGCAGGATGCAGAGCTGCTTGTACGGCTCGATCATGGCAAGGCATCTACGGAAGAAACACCTTTGAGCCTCCCCCAGACCCTTCTACAGCGTACGGGTTGCAGTACACCCGCAACCGACACAGATTCCGTAACCTTAGGTACGCCGCTAATAGTAGAGGAACCCTATGACGCCCCTTCGGAGCCTACAACCACTATTGCCCCGGCACATGAGCAGCAAAGTCCGCAGGTAGGGCGCATAGCAAAGGAAACATCAGCTACAGGGCGTGTGCCGCGCACTTTGGGTAAGTTCCATCCCGTAACACTCTCAAAGCACACCTAACCATTGCTCAAGCCTTACAATATATGCTCCTATTCGGCGGGCCTTGCTACGCACCCATAGCAATGGCTGTGACTATCGCAGTGCAAACCGCCTACTTCGCAATCACCTACTGGCTCTCTATCTGGATGGGTGCATACGAGAAGTACGAGAACCCAAACTCCCTCTACTATCTAGGGGTCTATGCCGCTGCGATCATCCTCTTCCTGCTACTGCAGCTCACTGGCAATCTCCTCTATCAGTACGGGAGCTGGACAGCGGCAAAGAAGATGCACAGGCGATTAGTGACGGCGGTACTATCGGCTCCCATCTCCTGGTTTGACCAGAATCCCATCGGACGATTGATCAACCGCTTCGGCAACGACACCCGCTCGCTAGACACCGTGCTGATAGACTGGCTACGCATGTCAATCGAGAACGGGCTGCGGTTCCTGCTGCGCATTGCCAGCGTCGCCTCCATCATGCCTATATTCGCTCTTCCGGCTGCTGTCATATGCACCGTCGGGTTCTTCATCGGGGAGATGTACACCCGCACGCAGGTGTCCATCAAGCGGCTGACATCCATCAACTACTCTCCCGTATTTTCACATTTCACCGACTCGCTTTCCGGCCTGTGCGTCATTCGCGCCCGCAAGGACATGGACCTGGTGTTCCAGAGGCTCCTTGCCGAGAAGCTGGCCGTCCATGCCCGCTCCGCGGAAACACAGTACAACTGCAACCGCTGGATATCCGTGCGATCCGACTTCTGTGCCGCATCCGTCGCCGCCGCCGCGGGCTGCGTGGCGTACTTCTGGTCCGGGCCAGCAGGGCTCGTCGCTTCTCATTGACCAACGCCATCGGCCTGAGCCAGAACATCCTCAACCTAGTCCGGACAATGAACGAGCTGGAAGTCGAGCTGAACTGTTTCCAGCGCGTGCGCGAATACACCGATATCGAACCCGAGGAACACCTGCAAGCCAAGTCGTCAGTCGTCCCAGCCAGCTGGCCCTCATCCGGCCGCGTCGAGTTCCACAACGTCACCGCGCGATACCAGGCCGACGGGCCCGACGTGCTGCACAATGTATCCTTCGTCGCGAACGCAGGCGAGCGCATTGGGCTCGTCGGCCGAACCGGCAGCGGCAAAAGCACCCTGGGACTCTCCCTGCTGCGATTCGTGAACCTCGCCTCGGGCCAGATCACCATCGACGGCGTCGACATCGCCACCATCCTCCTGAACCGCCTGCGCACCAGCGTCACCCTGATCCCCCAAGAACCCGTCCTGTTCTCCGGCGACGTCCACTCCAACCTCGACCCGTTCGGCGCTCCAGCGAAACCGAGCTCGCCTCCGCCCTGGCCGCCTGCACCTCCATCCACGTTCCGGACCATGCCCATCCCGCCAAACCCACCCGCCCCCCTCACCCTCAACACCCCCGTGGCGGCCAACGGCGAGAACTTCAGCCAGGGCCAGCGCCAGGTGCTCAGTCTGGCGCGGGCCATGTGTCGCCGGTCGAAAGTCGTGCTGCTGGACGAGGCGACGGCCTCCGTCGACCATGAGACGGACATGCACATGCAGCGCGTCCTGAGGGAGATGTTCCCGGATTGCACCATCATCGCTATCGCGCATCGGCTGAGGACTATTATGGATTACGATCGGGTGCTTGTTATGGCCGATGGGGAGATTGTCGAGTATGTTCCCCAACCACTGTACTTGATTGATAGTAATGCGACATGTCGATGCTAACGAGCATACTAGGAACGACACGCCCGCCAACCTGGTCAAGAAAGAAGGCGTGTTCTGGGATATGCTGCGCAACACAGGCGAATATGACGAGCTCGTGCAGATGATTGAGACGAAGCCTTCTGCGTCGTGAAGAAATACTATAACCACGAAATAGCACAACGATATACTCACTACAAACTAGCCGACAGAAGTTGGACAGAGCAAGCATGCCCATGATTCACCGAATTTGTACACAGTCACATTGCATATAGAATGAAAAAATGAATATGTATTCCATAAAGCAGTATTCTATCATCATCACATCTTTCTCCACATCATTACCTAAAAAAAACAA